CAACAAAGAATGTTCTGTGACGTAGCTCCGCCCTCGGGAATAGCAATATCTACATTTGATTCCGTTGCAATTTGGAATACCTTTCTCAAATTCCTATTTTTTTATTCACTGACACTCCTGTGTGCCTGCATTGCATCTTGACTATGTGTTGGTTGTATTTAGTTTTGATGGTGAACATATCCAGTATCCACCTATGTCAATGAATAAATGAAGGCCAGTGCATAAACCGGAGAACGCCCTCATGTGACGAAATCCTTAAGTGATTTAAATGATAGAGGGCGCTATGTACAATAATCAATAATCTGGTAAACCAAATTTATAAGTACATGTACCAGCCAATCATATACTGTTCACAAGACATTTATTTCAAATTAAAATAGTGGTGATGATTTGTGGTTGTAGTATGAAATCTACACACATTAGGAATATTTTTTATTTATTTAACCGAGTTTATGTCAATGACATAAATAAAACATTTGCAAAAAAACAGCATCTCAAGAGAATACATTTCATAGATTTGCCAGAAAATAAACAAGACTCATAATACCATGATACTATACATTTTTTTAACAAATTAATATATACGAAAAATATATTACTCTGGCCACATTTGTTTCGTGGTGTGTGTAATGACATAATTTTATTCCATATTTGGTAAAGGACACTGAATTTGTGCATTTTTTTTTAATTTTTATTATTAACCAATATGTACAAATGTAACATCGACATATGTTTGTACGAATCCTACACGGTTCTGATTAATTAGTAATATTTTAAAGTGATAAAATCATCAAAGCACATCGTGTTTGATATAAATCCAATGAAATGTACATGTATACAAAATGTTTGAAATATATTATTTGTTTACACTAAAACTGAACTCTGTCGCCTAGCAACACAATTCACAATAACGATTGTCACAATGAAAATTACACACGCTGAATGAGCATTAAAAACCAAATGATAGTATATATAAAAAAATAGTAATTATTAGAAGTATTGTAAAATATTTAACTGGAATTAATTTTTGCTAAAAAGACTGTTTGGGTGTTTTGTATAATGGAATTTATTTTCACTGATTTTTGACAAGTTGAATGTAAAATATAGGAAAAATAGCATATTTGCTGGATTTTATTTTTACTGAATCATTCCTTCAGCTAAAATAGTGAAAATTAATATATATAATTTTACAGTATGTGAATCCCTTCATTTGACCTCGACTGATTTTTATATTAGTCTGTTTTACAGAATGACTTTGCCTAATTATGAAAAAGTGTGTCTTTGTTTGGAATTCATGAACAAATTAAATACATGTCAGAAACTCCAGATCTGAGAAATACTTAAAATTCAAAACATTTTGTGATAAAATACATATATGTCATTATTTGTGTTGATCAATGTTATTTAAAAGGAAGACATTACAATTACTGTTCCCATCATTCTCTTTGTAATTGACATTATTCAAAACTAAAAAAAAAATCACTTAAATCAGAGATAGGAATTGTGTAGTTATTGTCTTATAGACAAAATGTAATAAAATCAGTTTAGGTACGAACTCATTATTTATAGTAACAGCTATGCAAATAAGTTGCTGAAATAACAACAAACAATGACTTGACTTGACCACAAGTAACCTCCTTCAAAGTGAAAATTGCCAAGTATTTGGGAACTTTTGTTAGGTAATTTTCACAATATTTATGTGTATGATTTGCATATTCTACAAATAGTATATTAGAAAAATATAAAAATACCAAAATTTAGACAAAAATAAACAATTTTTAGTCTTGGACTGTAGACTCAGTAGATTGCCTTAATATTAGATCTGGGGCTGCTAAGGTCAAAGGTCATTTGAATTGAATAATGATCATTCCTTATGTAAAGATTTTAACACAATGCCTGCAATCAGTGACTACAACTTTACCATCATCAGTAATTGCTATACCAGTAGGGTAACACAATACATCACTACCACTAGCAATATTGGTTATAAATTCACCTTTACTGTTAAACATCTGCACTCTATGGTTGCTGTAATCACATACATAAATATTATCATTCTTATCAGTAGTAACTCCATTGGGCCAATCAAACTTGTCATTTGGACGGCCACTGAATGCAAACATAAATACACCATCAGATGTGAGAACCTGAATACGATTGTTCCCTGCATCTGAGACTATTAGACACCCCTTACTATTAATAGCTATAAAATATGGATAGTCAAATTGACATGACCCTTGACCCTCACTACCAACTGACTTAATATACTTAAAACCTGTGTTTTCATATAATCTTATACAATGTGCATCATTATCAACCACATATACAATACCATTATTATGGTTGATAGCAATTCCACATGGATCCTGTAATTCTTTCCCACCAAAACACTTTATAACCTTCCCATATTGATTACATACAATCACCTGATTATTTCCTTCATTTCCTTCCCATATCCCATCTGTAATGAAGTATGTATTATCTACTGATACTGCTACATCTATGGGTCTGACTGGTTTACTATATCCTGTAAATTGTAACTGTGACTTTGGTGTGCCATATATATCTATAATCTGAACTCTTTTATTCTCATGATCAGCAACCACAATATCACCACATGTATTGATCCTCACTCCAAGTGGGTAATCAAACATCCCTGGTTCTGTGCCTTCTATGGTTTTCTCTAATTTCATTGGTGCATTTATAACATGTGATGGTTCTCGTGTTTGCTGATATGAATATGAGACAGAATCTACCTCCATAGACTGAAATGTTCCCAGCATGCCTTGCAGTGTGATGTCACCAGGATAAAACTGTGGAAGTGAATTATTTTTATCATTCCATGTTGTATCAAGTGACATCATAGTTTCCAGTTGATTTGTTGTTTCTTTACTAGTTTTCATCAGCTGTGCAGCACTGCTATATTGTAATAAATTGTTTATAAACGTTATTGTACTTGTCAGTAGTTCCTCAGTTGTTTCATACTGGTGGATTTGTCTGTTAATCTCTTCATTCATTTTGTCATAATCAGTTTTTAATTTAGTCATGTGACTGTTTTCTTCCTGTTTTATTATTTTTGTTAATTTCTCAATAGTTTCTTGTGAATGTTTCGTTATTTGTTGTTTTCGATGCAAATGTTGTTTTGTTGATTCTTCTGATTGTTTTGTGGCACTTATTTTACTTTGTTTTACTTCACTTTGTTTTGCTTTCAAGAGTTGTATGTGATCTGATGCCATCTTACAGAATCTATCTGCAGCCCCCTGTAAGTCAATCACTGTATGACCTTTGTGATTTGACCTCAAACATAAATGACAGATTGGTATTTGGCATTTCTCACAGTAAAGTTCAATAAGTTTGTCTTGATGAGAAGTGCAGTAAACTGCAGGAAAGACTATCGATTTGTCATTTAATTTGGCCTTTTTCAACTCCTCGATATTCATAATACGATGATGTTGACTAACTGGCATTTTTCTGTGAGCGTTGGTGCACGTTGTACACAAATCCATAGCACAGTCTACACACCTGTTTGTTGATGAGTTTTCTTCACAACCATGGCACGTTCCATGACATCGCTGTATTTCGTGTTCTTTAATAATGTCTATGACAGAATTAATTATCGTACTTGGTGAAAGTTGTTGCATATTACTCACGTAATGAAGTTGTCTGCAGTTGGGGCATTTAATCGTGTCACGTGGTCCCTTCAACTTCACCAAACACTGCTCACAGAAGGAATGGTAACATGGTAAAATCTGTGGATTCTTGTAACGTTCCAAGCAAACAGAACATGTCAGTAGATCTTCGTCAATCTCGTCGACGACAGATCGTTTACTTACCATTGATCGTCGCTGTGGTTCAAATCTCTTTTGATCGACGACCGTTTGGTGAACGTTGCCGGCTCCCATAATATTGGAGCTACGTAAGGGACACGTAAAAAAAATCGTCTATAAAAATATGTTAGAAACGTGAAAAACCCGCCAGTTACCAGTCACAATATAGAGCGTGGAACTGCCGATACACCAAACCACAGTAATTCGTGGACCAATATACATTCAGTAACTAGGGTGATACAAACGACAACAAACGAACTGAATGCGCAAACAGCCTGAGGTCAACAGGGTCACAGTATATATAAATCAGTGTACTTTCTCTTTCTGAAAAACACTTGAAGCGACGCTTAATGGTAATCGCTTTAGATGATAGACGTACCCATGATTCCAAACAAATGAAAGAAAACATCTTGGTATGTTCTCTATAAACATCATCCAATATTTCGCGATACTGAATAAAGGATGAAAATATTGCGATTGTGACAAAGGGACTCTATTCGAATAGGCTTGTTAAATAAGATTGTCTTAGCTTCTCTGTATCCCACTAAAAGTAAACTTTTACCTATCCACAATTATGAATAAATCTACAAACAATTATTTTTAATAAAAAGAAAATATGCCTTATTAGATCTTATTCAACCTTTCTAGTACGACGCCCTCATGTGTTGGCTAGTATGTCTTTGCTGAGTGTATATGATTCAATCTTTTTTATAATTAGCAAATCAGTGTCTTATAGTAAAATAAAACTCCACAACGCTGTGACAGACATGATTTTAACAGCCATACAGGCCCACCAAAAACGTGGATATATTTTAAGGGGTAAATTGTGTATGATATACAATGCAGACATAATCAAGACGTGTGCCAAATATATTGGCGATCCGCCCCGCTACGATTGCCTTTATAATCACTTTTGTAGGTTTTGTACTTTTGTGTGTCACGCCAAATGTATTTCTTCCTACAAATTTAGGATAAAACACCTCAGACATAGCTCATTCTACTCAGCTTGAGTGTGGGCACAAAGTTACTATTTGAATTTTTTATATCTTTTTCAATTACCGAGAAATTTGACCCCAAAGTTGGGGTAACTGTTCACCAGGAATAGCATTTTAACTCTTCTGTGATTTTTTTGGCTAGGCCGATTTGGTTCACAAACTTGGCAGACAAGTCACACCTTCACTCTAGTTGTAAAATCTGAAGAAAAAAATGTTGGTCCATCGTTTCCATGGTAACAGCCAAAAAATATTATATTATATAAATACCTTCGCGCCAAATGTATCTCACCCTACAATTCCAGGATTAAAAAGCACGAACATATCTCATTCTACTCAGCTTGAGTGTGGGCAAAGATTTACTGTTTTATTTGTTATGTATATTTTTATTAACAAGAAAATTGACCTCAAAGTTGGGGTAACTTTTCACCAACAACGGCTTTTAACTGCTCTGTGATTTTTTGGGCTTGGCTGATTTTGTTCATACTTGACAGGTAGGTCGTACCGTCACTAATTGGATAAAAAAAATCTTGGCCCACCACTGCCATTGCAACATCCACAAACTAATTTTTGAATACTTTCGCCCCAAATTTATTACCTCCTACCAGTGTAATAGCAGTGTTCAAATGATCATGCTATTTATTTTGGCTACTTTGCGCACTGGTAAGAGATCACCGGCGCCGACATTGTTACACTATATCAACGTAATCCCAATGCAACTTTGAATGAACTATAAATGCTGCCTTCATTCTAGAAAATACTATCGCAAAACGGTTGAAAATAATAAAGGTAACTGCAGAATACGTCCTAGTAATAAAATAAAGTGACTTCTAAAGACTGAATGGTTTTTGCGAACTTCGTATACGGAGCCCATTTAGTTATAAATCGACGTTAGCTTCACGTTCAGTCCTACCATGGAAACAGCCAAAAACATGTTGCTTGTTTTTGACAGAGCGGAGCGGATCGCCAAATTGACAAAACATGGAACGACCCAAAACTAGCCATACTACTCCAAAACGAGCCAAATAACTCAAAGACGAGCCAAAAACTAGCCAACCGAGTCACAGACGAACCAAAATTGGGCACAAAATCAAAAAGGGTGAGCGATCAGCCGTTTTGAAAGGATACTAGTACTTTGAACTAGCAATTGGGGGCGCTGTTCTCATCTCGCTAATTTGGCGATGTCCCAGAGGAAGTCAACACAAGTAAATAAATAAAAAAAATCGTAATAAATATATGTACGTTTGCAAATAAATTAATAATAAAATGATAAAGATACTAATACACAATTATAATATATCAGCAAATAATGAATTGATCCACGGCTAATATGGCTAAGGACAGCCAGGTGATATTGTAATGTTTTCCGAAAACAACTAATGTTTTGTTTTTGGTGTAATTTCAATAAATTAATTAACAGTAAGCAATTTAGATTTAGAGTGTAGTTGTGATTTTCAGAGCTTTACCTGTAGTAGTGATATTTTTTTTTTTTTAAATAGGATTTTTAAATGAACGGCTAAAATAAAAAACAAACAATCTACTTTCATGTTTAGAAAGAACTACCGTGTCACTATAGTCACGCTGATTTTCAACGCAGTCAGAAATCGTCTTATCATTCTCACATGAATGATACGTCACAACAAGCAATGCTCTAACATAGCTCATTCTTCCATAAACTGTAATTTATATCATGAAATCTAGAATACCCCGCCACGTGTAAAATACGCTTTATGCCATTCCGTTTAATTCCCGTACTAAACACCAGCTGCAAACGTTATGTGAATGAGCACGGCGGGCCCCCTTCTGGCAGCTATATCTAACTTTATTCCACTTAATTAAAGCATGTTTACTGCGGCACAAAGTAAATGTATGGTGTAGCCATTCCTGTATTACATTGTCTCAAACATATTATATAACTAGACACATATGCTGGTTGACGTTGTCTGTATCTGCCCAGTATGTATAATGCACACGGTAACTATGTCACTACCCTACTGGGAAAACGTTAGGTTAAAGTTTGTAGTTGCTGCATTGCATAGGAAACATCACAATATTCGTAAAGTGATTTAATTCAAGCACGCACTAAATACGTCGTACAATTACCACACGTCAGTCAGCCGCACACTAAAGTAATACTATATATGTTAAATACCGGAATACCTTATTACCCGAATTAATGGTGTAGATACTAAAGGCTACAATCGTTGTGTTGTCGTTATTTTCTTCACTTTGATCAGCTGTTCGGCCTTGTCTCGTGGACTTTGTCGCTAGTTCGTCGTAGTTGTGCTGCTTGACCGGACTTTTTACTTATATAATTCACCGCGACGTGGAAATTAATCAATAGAAATTAAATGATTACCTGTTTCAAGAATAACACTACCACTGGAGGTTCGTAGCCTGTGGCAGTGACATTGCTCTACACGTTGTATGTACTAAAACATGTAGTCATGTAACTTATGACAGCCATAACACCATGGCATCGCCAGTTTGAGCAGCATGAAAGTAACTTTCACTCGCAAACAATCATTTACCGAGAACAATAATTGGTGAGAGAGTAACACACATTTTATTT